TGAAGAGGAGGGCAAGCTGGCGAGAGGGACTCATCTCGTGCTCCCCTCTTGGGGTGCCTGGTTGGTCCCAGTTGCTGGCTTTAACAGTTATGGAAAGGACCTTGGAGGTTATCCAGCCCAACCCCCTGCTCACGGAGGAGACCTGTACTAGGGGATTCGAACCACTGAACTGCCGACCTTTCTGATCGACAAGCTCAGTGTCTTAGCCACTGAGCCACCTGCTCCTATAATATAGCCTTGATTTAGCCAATGCTTGTTTTAGAGAGAGAGAGAGATAATTTCACCAATCTTCAAGAGATGGGACATGCGGAGAACCCGAGAAACTATACAGGGTTGAATGTTGGCATTCGGCACATGGCGTCATCCTTCTAGGGATAAGCCCAGACTTGCTCGCTCACTCGGCGGAAGGGCTGCCCTGGAAGGCTTCAAAGTTTTCCTCCGCCCCTCCTCCTCCTCCTCCTCTTCCGAGACTGGGAGGCCTTGGCCAGGTGGAAAGTGGCTGGGAAGCGACCTTGCCAGTTTCCTCCTTTCTGGATCTTTGAAAACCTTCTGCCCTGAACCCAGAAGCATTTCAGCCCAGGAGCCTGTCCTGCATTGCTAAGCAAGGAAAGGCTCAACTTTGGAACTGCTCATTTGAGAGGCTGGGGGTGGGTGGCAGGAGGCTCCCCCCTCATATAATGAAGGAAAAACAGCTGCTTCTGAGCCTTCTCTTCCTCTTTCTCCTCTTTCTCTTCCTCTACTCTATTTTAATTCTATTCTAATTCTATTCTATGAAGCCACTTCCTTTCCGATATGCCGCTCAATCAGCTGGGCTCTCCCGGTGTTGATTCAGGGCCCTTCCCTGGCCAGCCTCCTCCTTCGATGGCAGCCAGACTATTGCTCAGTCTGCTCTGAACCCTCGGCACCATCGCTGGGTCCCTAGTTACATAACCAGGTGGCAGAATCGGGACGATTCCCTCCCCTCCCTTGGCAATGATTTTCAAATCATTCAAAAGAGCCTTGGTAGTACAGTGGTCTAAGGCACCCTGTTATTAAGCTGGTTATTAAGACCAGCTGCCTGCAATTACTGCAGCTTCGAATCTCGCCAAGGCTCAAGGTCAACTCAGCCTTCCATCCTTTCTAAGGTAGGTAAATTGAGGACCCAGTTTGTGGGGGCAATAAGCTGACTTTGTATAAAATATACAAAAGTACAAAGGCTATTGCTGAGCACATTGTAAGCCGCCCTGAGTCTCCGGAGAAGGGCGGAATATAAATCAAATTTAAAAAAAAAAAAATCCAGTTGCTTTCTCATCTGGGCGAGAAGAACCCCCCCACTTCTTCTCCAATTCAAGCGGTCAGCCCGAAGAGCAGAAAATGCAACAGGACCGCATCATGCTTCCTTGCTTATGTGGGTTGGATCCCAAGCGTATCATTTCACAGAAAGCTTCAGACACAGGCCATTCAATATCGCATTTATATCCCCATAGGTTTCAATACAAAATTCCTCCCCACTTTCCCAAAGGAGAGAAACTCTCCCTCTAGCCCAGGGGGTGTCAAACCCGATATCACGGAGGGCTGCATCAAGGTTGTGTTTGACCCCGCGTCTGGGGGGGTGGAGGTGGCCACCTTGACATCACTCGTGTCGGGGGGCACCTGTGGCCCGAGCGCTCTGCCAAAAAAAAAATTGGGCTCCCATGCTCCGTTTTCGCCCGCAAGGGCCTTCTGCAGCCCTCTTCCAGCGAAAACGGAGCCCACCCTGGCCTCCATTTTCACTGGCAGAGGCACCGGAAGTCAGATCTAAGCACCCTGCCGGCCTTGAGTTTCACACCCCTTGCTCTAGCCCATTCTCTGTTTTCCATCTTCCTGAAAAGAAGTCACCTCTCAAAAGACACCAGAGGCCTCAAGCCTCCTGTAATTTTTTTTTTTTTAAATTTGATTTATATGCCGCCCTTCTCTGGAGACTCGGGGCGGCTTACAATGTGCTCAGCAATAGCCTTCATCCTTTTGTATATTTATACAAAGTCAGCTTATTGCCCCCACAAACTGGGTCCTCAATTTACCCACTTTAGAAAGGATGGAAGGCTGAGTCGACCTTGAGCCTGGCGAGATTCAAACCTGCAGTAATTGCAGGCAGCTGGTCTTAATTTCACACATATCCTTCCTATGTCATTTTTCGATTGTACAGAGGTACAATCTTCAGGTGTTTTGTTTTTTTTTTAAATAGAGATAATTCTAACTTTCAGTTAGAGACGACCCCCCGATTCTACAAAGCGCGCAAACCTGCTTAATTCATAAGCTTTTCAGGACCCACAAATCCTAAACTTTTTGAGAATGACCTGCCTCCAATTCGAGGACCCCCAAACACAGGATGAGGCGAGACACTTTCGAACAGCCTAGATTGCTCCCCCCCCAAATCTGGGGGGTGGCAGTTTCCATCTACATAGGGCCTGTCAATATCTTATGTCTCCCTTTCCTTTCTTCCATGACTTTTTCTAAATGCCCCCACTCCTCTGATTATTTTCCCTGCAGTGTTCTGCAGTTTTATTCGGTCTGTGGCCATGTCCGAGTACAATACGAAGTCCGTGTTTCGCCTATCCGGTGATGTTGAACGATAGCTACACCAGGGGTTTGTGTGGGCCCTTCTAATTTTCTATAACTGTCTAGTTTGGCTCCGCAAGCCAACAAGACAGACAGAGACTTCGGAGGATCATTAGAACGGCAGGGAAAAAAAACCATGGCTACCAACCTGCCTTCCATGGAGGATCTGTATGCTGCACGAGTCAAAAAGAGGGCTGGGAAAATATCTACAGACCCCTCACATCCTGGACATAAACTGTTTCAACTCCCACCCTCAAAACGATGCTATAGAGCACTGCACACCAGAACAACTAGACACAAAGACAGTTTTTCCCCCCGAATGCCATCACTCTGCTCAACAAATAATTCCCTCAACACTGTCATACTATTTACTTAAGTCTGCACTACTATTAATCTTCTCATCGTTCCTATCACCCATCTCCTCCCACTTACGACTGTATGACTGTAACTTTGTTGCTTGTATCCTTACGATTTATATTGATTGTTTCCTAGTATGATTTGATTGCTTATTTGTACCCTATGACTGTCATTAAGTGTTGCACCTTATGATTCTTGACAAATGTATCTTCTTTTTATGTACACTGAGAGCTTATGCACCGGAGACAAATTCCTTGTGTGTCCAATCACACTTGGCCAATAAAGAATTCTTTCTTTCTTTCTCTTTCTTTCTTTCTTTCTTTCTTTCTTTTCTTTCTTTCTTTCTTTCTTTCTTTCTTTCTTTCTTTTTCTCTCTCTCTCTCTTTCTTTCTTTCTTTCTTTCTTTCTTTCTTTCTTTCTTTCTTTCTTTCTTTCTTTCTTTCCTTCTTTCATCATCTATCTATCTATCTGTTTCCTAGTATGATTTAATTGCTTATTTGTACCCTATGACTATCATTAAGTGTTGTACCTTATGATTCTTGACGAATGTATCTTCTTTTTATGTACACTGAGAGCTTATGCACCGAAGACAAATTCCTTGTGTGTCCAATCACACTTGGCCAATATATTCTATTCCATTCTATTCTATTCTAATTCTTCCCGCACTTGGGGCAACCGGCAATGTGAAGTCAAACACTCTCTGGGGAGGGAGTTGGGTGGTGGAACTGCATCCTGGGCCTCCGCCTCTCCCCCCCCCCCCCCGCTTCCCCTGACACACCTTGGAAGTAAAACAAGGCAGTCATTTCAGGGTGTGTCTGTGTGGCGCCGTTCCCACTTTGCCCAGCCGCCCCGGAACTGCGCTGCTGCTGCTGCACCCTCCTCTTCGGAGCAAAGTGGCACCACAGCCGCCAAGGCATTGTGGCCGGTTGGTTTTCCTCGGCCATATTACTTTAACTTCTGGCTGCTTCCAACCACCCTCCTCCAGTCCCCGTTCCCCCCCCCTCCCGGGAGATCTGGCATGCCAGTCCTACCCCATCCCACCCCCCTTCCCTTCCTCTCTTTCCTCCAGGCATCCCAACTTCGCTCTAAAGGGAAACACAGATTAACCTTTGCCAAGGTTGGGAGAAAAGCAGCTTCGGCAGCGCGAATCGCGAGAAGGCTGGGACTCACGCAGGTGTGTGTGTGTGTGTGTGAGAGAGAGAGAGGGAGAGAGAGAATGTGTGTATGTGAGAGAGTAGAATAGAATAACAGGAGTGAGAGTGTGTGTGTGTGTGAAAGAGAGAGAGAGAGTGAAAGAGAGAGAGTGAGAGTGTTTGAGAGAGTGTGAGTGAATAGAATAAGAGTGAGAGAAAGTGTGTGTGTGTGAGAGTGAATAGAACAGAAGTGAGTGTGTATGTGTGTGTAAGAGAGAGAGTGTGTGAGAGAGAGTAGGAGAGAGAATAGAATGTGTGTGTGAGAGGGAGAGAATAGAATAGGAGAGAGAGGGAGTGAGAGAGAGACAGACAGAGATTGAGAGAGAGAGAGAATAGAATAGGAGTGAGAGAAAGAGAGTGTGTATAAGAGTGAGAGACAGAGTGAGAGAGAATAGAATAGAATAACAGTGAGAGAATAGAATGTGAGAGGGAGTGAGAGAGAGACAGAGTGAGAGAATAGAATAGGAGAGAGGGAGTGAGAGAGAGAGAGAGAATAGAATAGGAGTGAGAGAAAGAGTGTGTGTGAGAGAGACAGAGAGAGTGAGAGAGAGAATAGAATAGAATGCGAGAGAGGGGGAGAGAGGGAGTGAAAGAGACAGAGAAAGAGAGAGAGAATAGAATAGAATAACAGGAGTGAGAGAAAGAGTGTGTGTGAGAGAGGGAGAGGGAGGGAGGGAGCCCCCGACAACTTCAGTCTCAGTTCCAGAGGCCGGGAAGGGTGGGGGGGATCTAGATCTCCCTTCCTGCCCCAAAGCCCAACGAGGCTTAGCCAGAACGGGAGAGGTCGGACGGGGAGAGGCGAGGAGAGAAGGGACCGCCACCCGCGCCTCCGATTCCAGCCTCCCCGAAGCAGCTCCACGCGCAGCTTCTTACCTTCGTGGCTCTGGGAGGTCCGGAGCGTCTGGAGCAGGAGCACCAGGAGGGTCCCGCTGAGCCCCGGCAGGCTGCCCATGTCGTAGTAGGCTGGTCCCACCGCCGCCGCTGCCTCCCGCGTTCCCCCTTCCCGGAGAGTTGACTCACGCGAGCCAACCCAACCAAGCCCAGCTGCCACGGGACGGAAAAGCTCAATGGGAGCTGGTGGGAAACTTCTCGCTCTGCTCATTCATGCCTCTGCTGACGTCACCGGGGCCACGCCTCCGGAGGCCGTCCAATCCCGCCCCGAGGGAGCCCCCGGCGGGGGGGGGGTCTTCGAAAGATCTCCCCGAGGCTTTAGGGAGAACTGGAGGATCAAAGCGCGAGGTGGCACCGCGGAGGGCAGAGCGCAAGAGAAAGGGGCTGCTTGGCATGCTTTGCCAGCCACGGATTGGGGAGACGGGGCGGGGCGCCCCTTAGTTCCAGCGAAGCCAGATGTTAAAAGCACCAGCGGCGAGACCCCAGAGGACCCCAGGACGGAAAACAGGGATTTATATTGAATTTACTCTATGTTCTCTTTAGTCGGCAACAAAACTTTAGCGGATGAAAATTCGCAGGGATCGTTTTCCCTTTCTCTTCCTTTTCCTTTCCTTTCCCCTCCCCTCCTTTCCTTTCCTTTCCCCTTTCCCTTCCTCTCTCCCCCCCTCCCCCTTCCCCCCCCCTCCCCCCCTTTCCCCTTCCCTTCCCCTCCCTTCCCTCTCCCTTCCTTTCCCTTCCCCTCTCCTCCCCTTCCCTTCCCTCTCCTCTCCTTTCCCCTTCTCCTCCCCTCCCCTCCCCTCCCCTTCCCTTCCACTCCCTTCCCTCTCCTCTCCTTTCCCCTTTCTTCCCTTCCCTCTCCTCTCCTCTCCTCTCCTCTCCTCTCCTTCCCTTCCCTTCCCTTCCCTTCCCTTCCCTTCCTTTCCTTTCCCACTCAGAAAGGGAGTATAAATGAAACACACACCATTAGCTCCCCTCTCATACTGGAAATGCCTGCTCAATAACGGCCCTCCTTAGAGCAGGCCGAGCTGCCTTCCCCCCTTTTGACACCTTGTCCTTTAAGTGCAAAAATTGACTTACAAGGCCCTGCAGTTTGGCATGGCAGTGCGGACTGAAATTGTAATATAAAGCCTATAAAAGAGGCTGAGAGCAATCAAAAAAGCCCTTCCCCAAAAATTTCCCAAAGCCAAGGATCCCTTCTTCTCCTCTGCCTAATGATCCCCTCTACCCTCCAAGTACTTTCTCCCCCCCCTCCCCCAAATCTTTTGCTAGTCAGATCTATAGGGAAGTTCTTATCTTTATTTTCTTTATTCTTGGCCAAGTGTGATTGGACACACAAGGAATTTGTCTTTGGTGCATACGCTCTCAATGTACATAAAAAGAGAAGATACATTCATCAAGAATCGTAAGGAACAACACTTAATGATAGTCATAGGATACAAATAAGCAATTGAATCATACTAGGAAACAATCAATATAAATTGTGAAGATACAGGCAACAAGTTACAGTCATACAGTCGTAAGTGGGAGGAGATGGGTGATAGGAACGATGAGAAGATTAATAGTAATAGTCATGCAGACTTAGTGAATAGTTTGACAATGTTGAGGGAATTAGTTGTTAAGCAGAGTGATGGCGTTCGGGGAAAAAACTGTCCTTGTGTCTAGTTGTTCTGGTGTGCAGTGCTCTATAGCGTCGTTTTGAGGATAGGAGTTGAAACAGTTTATGTCCAGGATGCGAGGGGTCTGTAGATATTTTCCCAGCCCTCTTTTTGACTCGTGCAATATACAGGTCCTCAATGGAAGGCAGGTTGGTAGCCATGGTTTTTTCTGCAGTTCTAATTATTCTCTGAAGTCTCTGTCTGTCTTGTTGGGCTATATAGAATAGAATAGAATAGAATAGAATAGAATAGAATAGAATAGAATAGAATAGAATAGCTCTGGGGCCAGCCGGAGGTGGCATTTGCCAGTTTTCTGAACTGCTCAAAATTTCCGCTACCAGTTCGCCAGAACCTGTCAGAACCGGCTGGATTTCACCCCTGCCTATACCACTTCAGACAAATGGTTATCCAACAGTTAAGTGAAGGAAGGAGAGAGGAGGGGAGGGAGGGTGGAAGGCAGGCAGGCAGAATGGATGGATGGAAGGAAGGAAGGAAGGGAAGAAGGGAGGGAGGGAGGGAGGGAGGGAGGGAAGAAGGAAGGAAGGAAGGAAGGAAGGAAGGGAAGAAGGAAGGGAGGGAGGGAGGGAGGGAAGAAGGAAGGAAGGAAGGAAGGAAGGAAGGAAGGAAGGAAGGAAGGAAGGAAGGAAGGAAGGAAGGAAGGAAGGAGAATTCTGGGATTTGAAGTCCACCCATCTTAAAAGTTGAGAAGCACAGGAGTTCACAACCCCCTCTGTTTCACAACTGCTGTCTAAGCACCCCTTATCCTAAGTCCACATCTACAAAATGGGTTTCAAGATAATTGATGCCGCTTTTAACAGAAGCCAGAGAAAGAAATCAATAACCCAGTCAGTCCCCATTTTCTGAGCCAACAATTAAAGGATAGGAATTGACAGCTCCAGGCCCATCTATTAGGCCCTTTCAAAATTGGTGGGTAAGATTTTGTTCGGTGCAGAGCTTGTCTCCCAATGCTTAGGATACCGCTCACTCCTGGACATGTGCAGAAGCGAGAAATTATTGGGCAAAAATTCGGATTTGGTTAGAGAAAATATACTCAGCAACATATTGATTTAAAACCGGAGCTGTTTCTGTTGGGTATTTTACCTGAGAAAATTCGTAAAGAAAATGTATATTTGATTATTCATGTAATAACTGCAGCGAGAATTATATTTGCACAAAATTGGAAAGCGGAAAAAAATCCCTACCGAGAGAGAGGTAAGTTAAGAAAATATTAAGAATGTGCAGGAATGAATCAATTAACATTAGCAATTAAAAGGAAGGAAGAATCGGAACATTACGACATATGGGGGCAATTTTATTATTGGATAGAAAATGAATGTGGACAAAAAGAGGTGCAAAATTAAATAAAACCGGAAGAAAAATGTTTTAACAGGAGATATATTAATTTGAAAGGTAAAAGCAAAGATATTTAAATGTTATGATGACACAAAATTTGTACCCAGATGACACACTGAATGATAAATGATGTAATGTTTGTTTTAAAAAAATAAAAAACTTTATATATATATATAAGGATACCGCCCACTCCTATCACAAAATGATTCAGCCTTTGGTGGAGGAAGGCCTTATCTATATATAAAATGGGGAGGGGAGGAAATGTGAAACCTAAACAGTGCATGTCAACAGATTGCATTGGGTGTAGCTCTTGAATGGAGGCAGGAATGCCAGAAAATGTATTTATTTCCATGGAAATACATTTTAGGAAGATTGCTGCCCTCCCTGGAAGCTGCTGGGATTGTCCCTTAAAATTTATGCTGCTCTGACACATCAGAGATACAACGAAAGAGTCAAGATGAGGTTCTCTTTGCATCCTTCCAAAAAGGAAGAGAAAGCAAAAACTCAGGAAAGAAGCAGCAGAAGAGGGAATATAATCTGAAGCCGAAGTTCTTTCGTCCCATTTGGAGAACTAGTGCAAGTAAATTGCCTCCCTAGAAAGGAAAAAATTCTCTCTGGCAAGATTTTGCTCGCCGGCCTGCAGCGAAATGCGTAAAGTTGCCGCAAAATTTCTGCAGCGAGAGTTTCCAGGTTTCCAAGGAAGGGTCTACAACCTCTTTCTACAACCTCTTCGGCCGAAAAAATGCTTTTAAAAGTAAAAAAAAAAAAAAGCCTCTGACGATCGTGCGGCTCAGCTGAGATCGTCAGAGGCTTTTAAAAGCATTTTTTTTATCTACAATCCCTTCGGCCGAAGAGGTTGTAGGGAAAAAAAATGCCTTTAAAAGCCTCTGACGATCCCAGCTGAGTTGCCTGATCATCAGAGGCTTTTAAAAGCATTTTTTTTCTACAACCTCTTTGGCTGAAGAGGTTGTAGAAAAAAATGCTTTTAAAAGTTAAAAAAAAAAAGTTGGCCACGCCCACCCAGTCACATTACCCCCGCCTCCCACCAAGCCACACCCACAGAACCGGTAGTAACAAATTTTACATTTCACCACTGCCCTACCCCCCAAAATAAGCCCAGTTAAGATTGTCAGCCAGATGGATGCATTTAGTACCGTATTTCTCCCCGAAAATAAGCCCTAAGTAGAAAATTTATTTATTTATTTATTTATTTATTTATTTATTTATTTATTTATTTATTTATTTATTTTATTGGTTCGATTTATATGCCACCCTTTTCCAGAGACTCAGGGCGGCTTACAATGCGTTAAGCAACAGCCTTCATACTATTGTATATACCTGCTTAGTAGGGCTTTCGGGCCCCCCTAAGTGGTGTTCTTTTTTATACAAAGTCAGCTTATTGCCCCCACAATCCGGGTCCTCATTTTACCTACCTCGAAAGGATGGAAGGCTGAGTCAACCTTGAGCCTGGGGAGATTTGAACTTGCAATAATTGCAGGCAGCTGGTGTTACTTAACAGCGCTTTAGTCTGCTGCGCCACCAAGGCTCTTATTCAGAAAATAAGCCCTAATGCCTCTTTTGAAGCAAAAATTAATATAAACCCGGCCTTATTTTCAGGGAAACATGGTAAATATAATGGTCACTAAAGCAATGGCCGTATATCGAAGGCCATCTCTAAGGTTTTAACCACATCAACCATTTTTGTTCTCCTCGAGAATCCTCCGGCCACTTCTTCCAACTGCAATAACAAGCATATTCTTGATTCTAGACACTTCCTTTCCTTTCCCAGTCTCTTCTGTTTCTCCCTTGGGTTATTTCTTCCACCGCACAAACACAAACACAAATACACACACAACCCCTTTGCCATCTCTGTTTTTAAAATGGTGTGCATTTACTAAAGGTCTGTCTTAGTTAATTTTGTAAAACATCCTGTATGTGGAAGAGAGCATATAAATAATGAATAAGGAGAAACAGCTGCTATCAGGAGAAGGCAAAAGTGGCTGGATCACACACAGAGACACACAAATACACACACACACACAGAGGGAGGGAGGGAGGGGAGAGAGCGACAGAACAATTTCTCAGTAATGGAAAAATGAAGCTAAAATCAAATTTTCATTTCTTGCCCAGAGTGGTTTCCGAGATAGAAATACATGTGATTTAGGGATTTGATGATTAGAATGAAATTGGATTGGAGGAATAATGTGGACCATTTATT